AGCATGGTTTAGTTGTAGTTGGTAGGATAGTTGTTAGAAGTATCTTTGAAAATGTATCCAAGTATGGCTATATATATTCAGCCTTGTATCTCCATACTTTTTAGAATGAATTAATTATTTTCCCTCCTCTTTGTCTTCAAAAGTCCATCAAGCCTCATGTTTTGATTCATTTTGAATCTCTTGTTTTAGGTCTTTAGATCTTTGAAATGTTTGTTTTGTAAGCTTCGGTATGTTCGGATACTCAAATTTTGATCTAATATTTACATTTACCCGATCAAAAAAAAAAAAAAGAACCTACGACCACCTCAGCAGCACCAAAAGCAAGAAAGGTGGAGGTTTAAACAATAATGGTGGAATATGTGGCTTCTTTAGGCCAGGAGGCAGGTTCGACATACCGGGGTTCAGGATGGATTGGGGCAAATGAGCCATAAGTGGTGGCTATGGAGTAGGATATGGGGGTGCTAGTGGAGAGTACTCTAAAGGAGAGACCATAAGGCCTACTGTAGTGTGCCAAGAAAAGGGTCTATGTTACAAGAAAAAGAAAAGATGCTCTGCTAAGTGTTTTACTTCATTCAGAGGTTCCGGAAGGGCAACGACAATGGCGGAGGCGGTGGTGGCTTCACCATGGACTGCAAGAAGACGTACTGTATATTGTAAAGCTGAGCTGATAAGGTAGTTATTATATATCCAGTAAAAATGATTTTTAATGCTACCATTATTTTGCATGTGTGCCAGTAATATAATTTTGTTGTTTTAGTGGGCTAAAAATACTGAACTTATATATATACATCTCAGTGCATCTTCTACTAAATAAATAGCATGCTATGTTTATGTGTGACCCCAACGAATTCATGAAATTTATAAAAAAATGAATAGTAAGAAAACTTTTTGATAGCCATCAGTTGTTAAAACAACAAATTTTCAGACATAAAGATCTATGTAATCCTCAAAATTAAAATACGACCGGTATATCTCCTACCTAGTTTCTAGCCCTTACTCAAAAAAGTCTTGTCATCACTTTAAACATGGTAATACAAAAAAAATGGACACATTATAAAACAGTCTTTACATGTGCTACTGCACCTCTTAATGGCCTGTCAAATAGTAATCTGTGCTCGCAGGAAATTACACAACAGGTATGTGATGGACGACCTATTAGATTGCAGCTCTCAAGGCTCCCTGAGCAGCGTCATGCTTCATCTCTGCAGCTTTGCCACTGCCTCGGAAGTACATGTATACTTGCTGGAAAGAAAAACCACATAAATATTGTGACAAGTTTTGTAAATATAAGCTTATAAGTTATATCAGACTGAAGCGAATGGAGTACTTATCAAGTCATAACTTGATGTACAGCTCGAACAAGTATATTCCAATAAGAACTAAACTTACCCCGACTATTACATGCTCGCCCATGAAATCTACAGCAGGAAGGGTGCCTCTGTTTAAACATCTCTGCATGTCAGATAATAAGCAGTCAATGGAACCAATCAGCAACCATATACAATCAGTTCGCTGCAGATTATCAACAAAAGGGAAAATGGGGTAAGATCCTTCGATAGACTAATTACGAATGTATAAGCTATAAGGCATAGCAATGCACAAAGATTAATATGCAGTTATGCAAAATGAAATGAACTTCACTCGCAAGAAGTTAGAAAAAGAGCTATGGTAAAAGAAATTTAATGAAGGAACTTACGCCAGAGATTTTCCTTGGAAGATGAAAGGAGGAGAAACCATGGCAAAAATGCAAAAGCCAATGTGAAGCTATAAACAAGGGCATGAGATGGTGAATAGTGAATACTGCCAATAGTTTAAAGAAAATGTAAGCTTTATAACAATATAGGAACCTTACCAAGTAAAACAGGAAAAATCACCCAAACTCCATAGCACTTTCAGTCCTGTAACATGGATTCTAAGTCAAGAAAATGAACAAGGAATAACCATTTTATGACCACGGCAAATATTGAACTGATGCTCCACTGGTAAATAACTTCTAACCATCTCAATATAATTGGTTTCTTTAGATGCACGCAAATAATCCGATAACTACTGTTGAATCTAGAAAGAGAAATCCTAAGCCTAAGAAAACCACAAAGTTAAATACTAGCAAAAGTTGACATACCCAACAAGGTTGTAAAAGCTGTTAGAGAGAATCCCAAGACTTCCGAAGAACAGTAATCAGATCATCAACCAACATGATCTCATTTGTTTTGTTTGTTATAGCTCCTCTGTAATCTCCTCTGTAACAACCTGATCTTATCTTTGATTTGTATTATTTTTCACACGTGACTTATCCTTTAGATATTTTAATCCTATGTAATCTCTTATAGCAACAAACTCTGATATTGTTGCCTACTTTGTAATCTATAAATACACTCCCAATACAATCGTTTTGGTAAGTTGCCAAAACAAATTTCTTCCAAACTTTTCAAAAGCAACATACTGCAGCTTCTGTAGATGAATCGGTATTTCATTTGCAAATATCATGATGTATAATACGAAAAAAAAAAAGGCAGCCAGTTTTTTTCCTCTAGAACAATACCAGCTGCAAAGCAACAAAAATCAAAGGAAAGATAGTCAGGGGCGGACCTGGGGGGTGGCCTGGGGGGTCACGTACCCCCCCAGATTTTGAAGATTTTTTTTTAATATATAAAGGAAAAAAAATTGTATCCAAACCTCAAATCCCTAATTTCTCTCTCCCCCCGTCTCCAACTCTACCCCCCAAATCCAATCTCCCGTCTGCCGTCTCCATTCTCCTCTCCGGCCCTCTCTCACACTATCACATGACTCATACTTCACCACAACACCACCACCAGTCCACCACAGTCCACAAACTCCACACGAAGATTCAAACTTTTGAGCTCTGCGCCTCTACCCTTCCTCTCTGACTTCGCGTCTGCCCAAGCAAGCAACCCAACTGCAGTCTCCAACTCTAAGTACAACTTCCAAGCTCTAAGAGGCGAGGACCGAGGTAACTTACTGAGTTTTTGTATTGACTGTTAATCTGTTATTTTGTTCATTTTGTAAATGAATTGTTTCGGTTTTTCCTCTGAAAATGAAGTTAATAGGGTTATAATATTGATTGTGAAGTGTTAATCTAATGTTTTGAACTGAATTTAGGGATTGATAGTTAGGGTTTTTAGGGATTTTTATGAGATTTGATTTAGGGATTTTGATGACATGTCGATAAACAGCAACCTGTTTCATTGAATTAGATACCAGCCTGTGTCTTTGAATTATGATTTAGGAAGATTGTAACTTGCTAATGAATATGTTCGAAATTTGGTTGGTAACTTGGTATGACTTATGAGATAAAGAAACTGATTTAGGGATTTCTAATGTGATTGATTTTTTATTTGTTTCAGTTATGGACTAGTACTATAAAAGTAAATCTATGCTTTCTTGTGATGAACTAAATGCCGTGTAATATATTGAAGATAATGTTTTGGATTGTTGTTAGTTCATAGTTGTAACTTGNGGGTGAGTTTTGGGTTGAATTTTTTCTAAGAGGCCCATGTAAATGATGAGGCCCAAGGCGGTTGCCTAGTTAGCCTTGGGCCAGGGCCGGCCCTGCTCGGAAGTACATGTATACTTGCTGCAAAGAAAAACCACATAAATATTGTGACAAGTTTTGTAAATATAAGCTTATATCAGACTGAAGCGAATGGAGTACTTATCGAGTCATAACTTGATGTACAGCTCGAACAAGTATATTCCAATAAGAACTAAACTTACCCCGACTATTACATGCTCGCCCATGAAATCTATAGCAGGAAGGGTGCCTCTGTTTAAACATCTCTGCATGTCAGATAATAAGCAGTCAATGGAACCAATCAGCAACCATATACAATCAGTTCGCTACAGATTATCAGCAAAAGGGAAAATGGGGTAAGATCCAAAAAACTTCGATAGACTAATTACGAATGTATAAGCTATAAGGCATAGCAGTGCACAAAGATTAATATGCAGTTATGCAAAATGAACTTCACTCGCAAGAAGTTAGAAAAAGAACTATGGTAAAAGAAATTTAATGAAGGAACTTACGCCAGAGATTTTCCTTGGAAGACGAAAGGAGGAGAAACCATGGCAAAAATGCAGAAGCCAATGTGAAGCTATAAACAAG